TAAAGTACTTTTGTGTGTTTTAATAAAATCCAATGGTTTTACATTATGAGACCTTCCCTAGTATTTTGTTTGAATGCATGACGGTACACATCTGAGAATGACCTATAGAAACAAGCCATTGGAGACCTTAGGGTGTATCCCCAAACGCAAGCACTGACCTGACTAGCAATAGTAGGTCAACAACTCGTGGTAAGTTTCTATCTGCATGGGAACATTGGAGACACTGAGAAGTGGAACACTTTTTTTGTCTACAACTGCACGAGTACCTTTTCATCTGGGACTTTTTACTTGAATCTATTCACATGATTATTTTGTTTTTATGTTATTTTTGTATTACAATAACATATTTGTTATGGCCATGTGTTATATTTTGTTTATGAAGGTTTAGAGCAGCGCTGTTTATATATGAAATTAGCTTTTGTACTTAGTGTTTTGATTATAGTACTTGTTTTAATCTGCAACAGCTAAATGCACAGGAATTATTCATTTACACATTTTAAGCACTTTCATTTATTGTTTCCTGGGTGTGAGATTTTTTTAGTTACATTGTGTGTATAATTTTATTGTTTTTTACATGATACTAGCGACACTGTTTTATATATAACAGTGAAACCAGATTGTTCTGAATATTGTAACATTAAACTGATTGCAACAGAAAGTAGCCATGCTTATTTTCTACCACATAAAGTTGGGAAGTATAGTCACTTTGCACATCACTAATACAGAATAACCCTGTTAGCTCTTAACCTGTGTATTTAAAATAAAAACGCAACATCACATGTGTTTGAAGATGATATACTGACAGAATTTGCTTGTACACATAAATAACATCTTTTGTTACAGCCTGTGAAATATGGAACACCAGATCAAATGTAATTAATTACCACCAGGCCACTCAGTTATAGTTGACACATTCAGTTTGCTGAACTATTTACCTGAATGGAAAAACAGCAGTTGGGTTAAGCGTGAGCTTGTCATAGTCAATAATATCACTGAGGCAGAGGAAGCCTGGGCAGTGACACATGGAACAGCTGTTACTTTTTGCTGTTTCAGGATATATAATTTAAACTGTAGATATCAGCTGCTAGTAATAAAATGGTATATTTCAAATGTCAAGAAATCACATCTATATACAGTATCTACATATGTCTTTAGCCATCCTAGAAGAGTTTAACTTCTTCTATTGGAGCTTTAGTTTATTTGACACTCTGGAGAATATGGCAGGAAGGCTAAGACCTCCCTCATTGCAGTAGTCAGAGTGTGACATTGTGGCGAGAATGCATACTTAACACCAGGAACTCGAAATGAGAATAATCAGAAATGCCAAATTGGAGTCCCCAAAACTGGGGGAACATGTACAGGGAAAATGTAGCCTTCATCATCAAGCCACTGGGCTGTCAAAATGTGTTTGCAAACAAAAAGCAGCTACACGTGTGACTGGAATGTGAAAGCTGTTTGGGAAGCATGCAGATAGTCTTGGCTTGAACATATACCATATTGGGAGTGAAGCAGTCTGTAGAATTTTTCTTTTGTTCATTGAAGGACACAGCAGAGATCTTTAGATCTTCACTGTTGGGTTACAGGGAAACCTTCAGGAGTGGGACACTAGGCACAAAAAACAAAAACACAGCCTAGGGGCAGCCCCTGCTAAGGTCCAAATCTCCCATCTGGTAGATGCAGCTCCAGCACCTGTCTTTTGCTGACACATTGCTCTGACCTCTCTTCTGCTGCCTTGATCTGATCAATCTTCAGTCACTCCCTGGTGTACTGTCTCCACATCATAGCCTTCCTGCCCCCATTCACCCCTTGGTGGGACAAACCTAAGGACTGCAACCTTATACCAGCATGCAGAAAAACACATGAGGAGCTCTGGTGAAATCCTTCTGGTGCATAGACTCTCAGGGGAGCCTGCTTCACTGATGGGAATGTTAGTTCTCTTCTTCTTTTGCAGGGTATATTTTTTTTTCTTTCTTCTTTGTTTTTTTCAACAGTTGACTAAGTGGCAAGCTAAATATTATAGATCCTTGTAATGTGCTCAGCTCAGCCAACAATGCTTGCTGTATGTGGATTTGGCTGTGACAGCCCCACTTCACTCCAGCTTCAGCAGGAGATGGCCTGTTTTGTAGCTGGTACCCACCATCATATGGGTATTGTTATATACCTGCATCTGCTGTGTACAAGGCCACCCTGGCTTTTAGAACAGTCAATAGGGTTCTTTAAGAGTGCTATCAGGTTTTTTTAATTTATTGGTTGAACTAGATGGACTTGTGACTTTTTTCAACCTAGCTATGTAACTATATCTTGCAGTATCACCAAATTTTAATATACTCACACAGTGTCAGTGACCGAAAGGACAAAAAGTTCCAGTAGATCCACTGTACCTATTGATTTCAACAAATTCCTGAACACCTAGGATCTCTCTTCCATTCTCTCAGGCATGCATGGGACATTAGCATCAGCGCGCTCACAGTGTGAAGATGTTAGATTCTGAGGATACGATGTGTTCAGAGTGTCAAAACAGTTTTCGTCAAATCTTAGCAATTAGACTGCAGGGATACCAGAGGAGCTCAGATGTTCTGTGGTACCAGGAAATACAGTGGATCAGCTACAACCTTAGAACTTTATATTCTTAGGTCACTTGTACTTCAGTGAGTATAAGCAAAGTTTATAATGTTGGTGGTTATACTTTTGTCATAACTACTGAGCACTATTAAATCTGCTTGTAATATAGAAAGTGTATGTACAGTCAAAATATTTTGTTTGGATACAATACGCAATGGTTAACACCCCCGTTAGTTTTTTTTCCTGTTGGTACACCCTTTTGGGAGTCATCAGCTGTTCCTGACACTTACTAGTAATTAAGAGGAGATCTCCCTAAAGCAAGAAGATATCCCTTCTTAGCCTAGGTTTACATCTATGCAGGTTGCGGATGATGTTTTTTCTGGTGAGTTTTGTGTTTTTGAACGTACTTTCTTGATTCTTTTTTTTTTGCCAATAGGAAAGTATGACAGTTTTGGGATAGGGTTAGCAGTAATTGTTAGGGTTAGGATGCTAGCCCTAACAATTATCGCTAACCCTTAACCCTAACCATAACAATTACAACTAACCCTAACTCTAACTCTAAATTAACTCTAACTCTAATCTTAACTCTAACTGTAAATTAACTCTATCTCCAACCTTAGCTTTAACTGTAAATTAACTCTAACGCCAACCTTAACTCTAACTGTAAATTAACTCTAACTCTAATCTTAACTCTAACTCTAATCTTAACTCTAACTCTAAATTAACTCTAACTCAAACTCTAAATTAACTCTAACTTAATCTTAACTCTCTAATGTAACTCTAACCTTAACTCTAACTCTAACTGTAAATTAACTCTAACTCTAAACTAACTCTAACACTAACTCTAACTTAACTCTAACTCTAAATTAACTCTAACTCAAACCATAACACTAACGCTAAATTAACTAAAATGCTAAGCTTAACTTTAACTCTGGTAAATTAAATCTAACTCTAAACTCGATAACTTAGCGATAACCTAACTAGGGTTAGTGTTCCAACGCTAACCCTAACTCTAAACTAACGCTAAATAAAATGGTTAACTGCTAATTGTTGTTAGAGTTAGGGTTAGCGATAATTATTAGGGTTAGTGTTCCAAGCCTAACAATTACTGCTAACCCCAACCCTGATTACTGCTAACCCTAACCCAAAATTGTCAGACTTTCCTAGTTGCATAAAAAAATCAAAATGCAGCAAAATGCATCACAAACACAATACTTGTGTTTTTGGTGCAGTTTCATTGAAGTCCAAAAAAGTCCCTGACTCTTTCCAAAAAAGGGCACTGGCTGAAAATGCACTAGATTCATAGGAAACCATGTTAAATGGACTATAGTATGTTTCTGCAAAATGCACTAAAAACACATAGGTGTGAGCCATGACTTAGACAGTTGTCATCTGTCACCAGTTGTCATTGAAAGATTTTCCCTTACCTCCTGTTTCTGTGACAACTCAACAAAGTTGGCTCTCCCATCACATTTTGTACTGGAGAATACATTTCACAATACCAAGAGTTGTGCCTGAATTTCCCAAACAAGGACACAGACGTCAATGAAAACAGACAATATAAAACTACAATAAAAGTTTTGTTATACATACACTTTAAGGACCTTGAATACGTTTCACCAGCATCCTCAGGAGGACTCATATTAATTATTTTTGGAACTTTTAATTACTTAACATTTAAGTAGTTTTAGTAGATTTGTTGTTTGTGCATCTTATCAGCAGGGGTAGTATTTGTATAGTGATACATACTGCATATAGCAATTAGCTCTATTTGAATGTGACCTATAAATGTATACAATTTAGGAAAGACTAATGCATTGTCTTTTATAATTAGTACAGTAAACAATGGTGTAATAATATTCATATTAGCCCACATGAATGCTAAGGGGCATAGGGGTTGAAGAATGCCCCATTAGGGGGACTGTGAGGCATTTTAAACATAGAAAATCAGTGTGTCTGTGAAGAGAACACAAATCCATAACGCTATTATTAAAGTGTACTTAAAGGCAAGACCTTTTTTAATTTGGGGTAGAGTAGGAGAGGACAACTACTGTCAGGGTTTTTTTTTGCCATTGTGTCTCCAGGAGATTTCCCTTCTTTTCCTGTCCTGAAGGTTCAATAAGAAGTGAGAGGATCCAATGTGAAACACAGCTGTCAACAGTTCCCACTGAAATATATTTCCTCTATCTGGTTCTGCTGACAACTCAAAATTTTATATTTTTCCTCACTCCCATTTTGTGAAACTGGTGATCAGGACAATTAGAGACGGGGGAGATTTACTGGTGCACTCAGAATCTGGTGCAGCTGTGCATGGTAGCCAATCAGCTTCTAACTTCAACTTGTTCAAAAAGACTTTGACAATAAAACCTGGTAGCTGATTGGTTTCTATGTAGAACTGCACCATATTTTACACAATGCAGTTTTAGTAAATAACCCCCAGTGAATCTCCCTAAAGGGGACACAGACAGCAATAAACAGCTTCTGGTCATCCCAGCTAGCACTGAAAAAAAACTCTGTATGTCTAAAGCAGTCTTACTCAGGCTGTAAATATTGGAGTGTTTTCTTAGCTAAAAACAGACAAGTCTTTGTAGTTCTGTTAAACACCTTCCCACAGTTTAATGATGTGTATGCTGGAGTTATTTGTGTGCAAGAGTACTAACAAATATGTCAGAATATAAAATATTGTGAAAGCCACTTTTATTGCTGTTATTTTTGCCGATTACTATGCCACCAATTTCCTGTGGTGGTGGAAGGGATGAGTTTAGAGCAGAGTCCTCGATATCTGAGATGCTGAAATTAAACTGCTGAGCTATGGAGGACAGAATGGTTAACTGGAAAATGAATGTTGAAAGTAAAAGGCTAAATTTACTAGAGATGTGCATGATGAAAACATTTGTATATTTGTGTATTCATTCTTTAACGGCTTCCCGACCGCCCAATAGCAGAACTACTGCTACAGGGCGGCAGGGCTGTGCAAAATCACGTATATATACATGATTTTGCATTTCTGGGTAGGGGGCACGCACGCTACCCTACTCACTCTGCCATTTGCAGTTACAGATGTTGATCATCGGTCACAGCCGGAGATTCCTCACTGCCACCCGGCGATCGCTGAGTAACACTGACAGGGGAGAGACCTGTGTGTAAATAACACAAGCCTCTCTCCTGCCAGCATGAACATGCTGCTGTGCACAACAGGAATACACATCAGTATGTTTCCCTAGTAAAACACACACAGCACACATAGTAAAACAGCACACAGTTAACCCTTTGATCACCCTGGATGATAACCTCTTCCTGCCAGGTGTCATTAGTACAGTGTCAGTGCTTTTTATTAGCAGCACCATATCTCAAAAAATGGCCTGGTCAGGAAGGGGGGTAAATCCACTGGCGGGCAAGTGGTTAAATTAATTTTGTCATTTCATCATATTTGTTATGTTAGAATGATTTATTTTCAAAATTAGTTTTGTATATTCTGATTTTTTTCACATATTCAGATTTATTTTCTATATTCGTTTTTTTATGAATCAATTTGTATTTTTTGGAAGTTTTTTCAGAAGATTGGCAATATTCATTTTTACCTGTTAATTTGTTATTTCAAGAGATTACTTATGCACTCTGAATCATCTCTACTAGTCCAACCCACAAAGAGAAATGGAATAAGCTGATTGAATATCAACTAGATTCAAGGGCATCTGAAAGAACAAATAGAACAAAATTAATTTTGGATTCATTCATTATGTCATGATTTGGATATTCTGATAAATCCATTTCCATCCAACTCAAACACAAAAAGTAGGAATCATCAACTTATTTCACTTTTATACCTTAGTGTATTTATTGCAATATGTTTATATTTCATTCATAGTGCATTTTTTTTTATAATAATGAAAAATGTTAATGCAAAACAATAAAGAAATGGATCCAAAATCACGAATAGAACAAAATTAATTTCAGATTCATTTGTTATGTTATGATTCAGAAATTCTGATGGATCCACCTCCATTCAACCTGAAACACAATAAATAGGAATCACCATCTTATTTCACTTTTATACCTTACTGTATTTATTGAATTTTTTTCCATTTCATATGTAGTGAAAATTTTTATAATGAAAAATATTAATGCAAAATAAAAACAAAATGGATCTGAATCAGTTTGGATCATTCTTTATGTTGTTACACTATTTTGGATTCTTCAAACATTAACAAAAGGCCCAAACTATCACATCATGTCATCCAAATGAAAAAAATAATACAAATTCATTTGTTGTTTTGTTATAATTTATTTTGAATTTTTTAAAATTCTCTACTATTGTAATTTGGAGATTAGGATACATTTGAATCACTGAATAACGCAAATTTCTTCCAAATTCTGATATGGAACAAAACAAATTGCACATGTCTAAAGTTTACCTTTTTTCCAGAAAATATCCTATTTGTTTTTGCTCCTGTAATGTTTGGAGTGAGTATTCAGTTGATTCCATGCCCTAGCAACAAAGCAGGATGAGGAGATTGCTCTATTTCAGCCACACTTCTGGAGGCGGTAAAATTGTCTACAGGTATGTCAATAAAATAAATGAACATTTTACAAAGCTGCAGCATTTTTAGTACGTAATGGGGCCCCTTAAATGTATAGGCTGTTTTCTGAAAAAGGTGAATTTAGCCTTTAATTCCCTGCCCTTTCTTCCTTTACAACTTTTGTCCATAGCACTGTTCCCTGGACCTTAGTGATGTGACTATGCTACCACCTGTACCTGATTAACACATAATGTATGTTAAGATTAATGACAGTAAGGAGCCCCATGCTTTGCTGCCCATCATCGGTAGTTTCTGTAAATCTGTAAACTATCGTGACTTGAAAAAAAGCTGAGAATGTTTTTTAACTTTCATTGAACATGTTTCACATATAAAATAAAAAAACACAGCTGATTAGTATGTTCAAGTGAATTAGATGGGAGCTCCAAACATCTTGGAGAACTAACCACAGATCTTCTGTGGATGTAGGCTGCCTCATATCCTTCTGTCTCTTCATGTAATCCTAGGCAGACTTGATGATGCTAAGATCAGGGTTATGTGGGGCCAAATTATCACTGCCAGGACTCTATGTTCAGCTTTAAGCTGAAGATAGTTCCTAATGACATTGGCTGTATGTTTGGGGTCATTGTCCTGCTTCAGAATATGTTTTGGGGCAATCACATGCCTCCCTGATGGTATGGCATGGTAGATAAGTATCTGCCTGTATTTCAGTCCGGTCATAAATGCACCCACATATCACAAAACAGCATTGAATCTCTTGTCTTTAAAAAAAAAAAAAACACTTTTTAGCTAGGTGCTGGAAAAACCCAACTCCTCCATCCTAAAGAGATTGAGGTCATACAGATCTTAAATGACCATCTTCTGTATGAATTCCTATTTGCAAAAGCTCACCTAACCACACCTTAATTTCTCCAAACCTGAAATCCCTGGCTTCAAGAATCTAGATGTATACCTTTATTTTGAATACCTCCCATAGATTACCTCCCTCTGTTAACACCTTTTACACAATAGGTTACCCACTCTCATGTCCCCCATTGTCAAGTTTTTCTTGTTACTGTAACCCTTGGTGACCGATTGTGGGAATATACTGTATATGTAGACTCAGAGCTTGACACAAGAAGCAAGGTAAATAGTGCAATATATGTATATGGTTTGTGTTTTTTATAACTGGGATGGAGAGCTATTAGGACGTACAAGTCAGTATTGGTCCCAGAAGATTCTCTTTAAGGGATGCTGTAACCTAGTATCAGTGCTGGCTGGTCTTCAGTGTGTTCCCTGCTTCCAGGCTTGTTTTCAGCATGTGTTTCCTGTTATCAACCCGGCTTCTTGCTGACCTGATTTTGGATCCTGCTCTGTACGTTTGCTCAACCTGCTTCACCTCTGACCTTCAATCAGCTTCTGATTGGGTACTGCTCGTTACTGACCTTCGCTTAATCTGTGACTTCTGCCTTCTGACTTCAATTTCACACTATTGTCAAGTGCTTCTTACCCTATGTGCTGATGCAGCTGTAAATAATAAATAGATGCACTGTTCCTTTAAATTATGTGATATCAGGTGTAATCAATACACATTCAGTTCCAAAACATATAAAACAATAAAAACAACATATAATGATTCAGTCCAAATCCAAAAACCATGACACAGAGATGCATCAAGTGAACCACAAGTGCCAGTAATCTTCCAAACTGATCCCCATGCTCCTCCATCAAATAAAGCCTTAACCTGCTTACCAGAGGTGAAGACCCTAAATGATGTCAACAGCGTTTGAGAATAAAGATGGTAACCAGCTTACCCCACTGCTCAAACTACCAGCTTGGACCACCAGTTCTTCAATTTCTCCACCACTTCTATAGATGGATAGCTAGCTCATGTCGCTCATGGCCCCAACACAGCACATTATACCACAGAGAAAAAGGAATGGAGGAACCAATATTGCATTATCTTTGTTTAAAACGGCTCTTTATTGCAATCAGAGGTACTCACAGAGATGCATATACAGCAGCGTTTGACTGTAAACTCAGTATGTTGCTTGGACAGGCCTGCATGCATGATGACATCAGTGCCAAGCCCTGCACCTATGCATTTCATCCACAAAGACGTCTTCAGGGGAATAGTTGATGCAGCTGCCTACTTCTACACTTCTATCATCCTGCTACATGCCTGCTAGCAACATTTGTGAGCTCTGCTATTCTGAACTTTCAGACAAGTCAAAAATCCCCTTTGACTTCTGCTGGTTCTCCTGCTGACTTCCTTGCCTGACACTTCTGCTCACATGTTCCACAGGATCTACCTGTTTGACATCTCCAGTTCAGGGTTCTGAAAAGTACAACCTACAGCACTCATGCTCCCATTGTCCCTTTGCACCCTCTATCTCACTCGTGGGTGCAGAAGATACAAGACAGGCTGCCCTCATCATCTTGGTCTACTATCATGTACATTACAAGGGCACTGCCAAAAGAGCAAGTGACTTTGAACAATGGTAGTGTCATGTACAGTACCTGTTAGTGGAGCTTGAGATGATGAGGGTGGACTCTTGCACAATTCCTGTCAAAGCACTCCTGGTGGTGAAGATAGGGACTGCTAGGGCAGCAAAAGTATACATGCACTAGGAAGTTGGTGTAGCTAACTTGGACTTGGAGACGCTGATGTGGGATAGGCAGAAGCAAGGAGTCAGGTCACAAGCTGAGTCCAGTAAAAGCCAGGTAGATGCTTGTTGTCAAAATCATGATCAGAGTCCAGGTCAGAGACAGGCAGGGGTCAGCAACATGCTGACAGTGAGGTACAAATCAGCAAGCAGAATCTTAGTCAAAAGTTCAGCCCAGGGTTTGTAACATGAATCAATAGCAGACATACGTAGGCAAGAGGGATCCAAATAAGAGTCAGATGGAGCCAGGTCAGTATCAGGATCAAGCAGGCTTTTAGGCACACAAGTCACAAGGTACAGCTGAAGAACATCCAGCTGTACCTTGTACAGAACATCTGGTTTACTCTGGGTGCCAGAATATGTGGGCACACCTATGTGTGTGTGTGTACCATGGCACGTGCCTCCACTCTTGAGCATGTGCATTCTCCTTCTTACAAATCCAGGTCTACATCTATGCTCCAGGTCTACAAGTATGAGCACAAGCACATCTATGAGTAAGAGCATGAGCATGGCTGGCCTTAGTTCCTGACAGGTAATTCAATATAGCTTTTAGTGAACTAGACATGCCGTGCTGGTACTTGTAGATTCATAGTACAGGAACAGGCAATAGAACAATGGAAGTTCAATAGCCATGGTATAAGTGACTTTATAGGAGGTGAAGAGGGTATCAGAGACTAAGGTCACCAGATTTACAAACAGAAGCTCTAGGATACCCTTACTGACTATGCCCACTTTTAACTACAGCCACAAAACCACACTTATTTGTAACCATACCCACAAAATCAGGCCCTCATTTTTACCATGTTATCAAACAATTAATAATGGGCTTCTGGAATAAAATAAATTGAGCGACATGAAAAAGGGAATGATCTGGCATTGTAAGCATGCTCTGGCAAATTGTAGGCATCGCTTTACAGGATCGAAAGTTGGGCCAGTTGTGAGAGTCTAGGAGACTGCAAGAATCTTGGAGACGAGAGCTGAACCAACTGGGAGAGAGTACAGAGGACCAGAGGAATATTTGAGCCTCAGAGTAGTGAAAGAAACTGGGGTATCAGGAAAAACTCTACCTAGAGGTTAAGAGTGGGCCCGTGCAGCAAGGCAATGTAGCTGAGGCTGAGGGAGTCTTAAGAGCCAGGTGACTTGGTATTTTCCATTGTTTGTATTTTGCTGAAGAAGAACCCCTGAAGCTTGTATGGATCTTCTGATTCTTTTTAATAAAAATGGACTGCTGCACTCTTAAACTGAAGTTCTGACTAACATGGTCTCACTTGACAAAATGCACCTACTTCAAGTGCTAAACACCCCCAGTTCACAACATCAATAGATAGAGATTAATAATAGAGATTAATAATTTTTGTTAATATCTTAGGGTCACCCTGATATTCATCTCGAATCCTTGTGGATCGGAATCCGATCCATTATGCTCCCCAATCCTCAGATCCGATCCATCCTGCAGGAATCGTCGGCTTTCTTTACAACTTACCTTTTCGTGGAGCGGGTCCAGTGTCAACCCATATAGGTTGCATGCCAACGATCCCCGTAGGATGGACTGGATCTGCAGATTGGGGAGCATAATGGATCGGAGTCCAATCCATCCTGTGGGGATAAAATGAAAGAATCTATGATATAAATGCAATAACAATAATAAAAAGATATAAAAAACCCATGGTAGAAAAACTCATCCATAAAATATATGGACGCACTTCTTCAATGGGAAATACATAAGGATAAAATGGACAATAATAAAATTAATAAAAGGATGTGTGAGAATGTGTAATAAGAATATAATCCAGTCGCCAGAATATAAACGAAACAGGTAAAAAATGGTCACGTGGTCAAGTGCGCAGTAGGAGCACAGTTTTGACAATGGCGCACGCATGTGTGCAAGTACCCCTAATTTGCCATGGTGCACATATCATGTTCATAATATCCAGGGCATTTATATTGGCTCTGTACAATAAGATTAATTCCTATAGTTCCATTTTTTTAAATTTTTTCAATTTTTTCCTCGTACCATTAATTTATTAAGGGATGCTGTCATACAGTTCCTTACACCAGTTCTCTCACTGAGAACTACAGGAAAATGGCGCCTGCACATGCGCAGTATTACATCCATGCTGCGATTGATCTTTATGACATTTCATCTCTGGCAAAATGGCGCCCATTCGTTCGCGCATGCGCACTTGCGTTGGACTTTGGCAAGATGGTGCACGATTGTTGTTTTTTGGCGTTTTTGGCACTTTTTTCAAATCTTCTGATGCTATAAATAGCTGCATTGAGACGTCTGGCTGCACACAGGCATACCCCTTTTGAGAATGAACGCTGAGTTCGAAACGCGTTAAGGAGGAGCCCTTGTAAGCCGTTGACGTCAAGCCGTCGGATCATGGGAATCCGACGGCCACTTCATATTTCTAGCTGGTCAGTTGTTCATGTGTATTACATATGTGACTCCTATTGTGGCACTTTCATATATACTGTAGTTCTTTTTGTACGTTTTTTAAATATAACTTTTAATATTACCATAATACTACACTATGGGATATTCTTAATGTTTGCTCTGCATTGAGCACCTTAAATCCCCTAGCACCACTTCCAGTTGGTGTTCCAGCACCCTGAAGAGGTTGAGCTACCTATACGGACCATCGTACCTCAGCACTTTGAGGAAGATCATCCACCCCCAGGCTGCACCTTTATCCATACTTGAGGGACCCCTGTACACCAGGAGTACAATATACAACGCGCTTTCAATTAGCGCATCTGGTAAGTGCACACTTTGTATATTTATTACATCATCCCAAGGAGAAATAGCCAGGGGCGGACTGACCATTTGGTAACTCGGGCACTGCCCGAGGGCCCTGGGTCAGTAGGGGGCCCCATGAGATGCCCCTGGTACCTTTTTCATAGGCTTTTTTGAGTTTGGGAAGGACACAGGGGCCCCATGATCCCCTATTGCCCAGGGGCCCCATGAATTGTCAGTCCACCCCTGGAAATAATATTTTGGGACTCCATACAAGTTATTTGAAGATTGCACTTGATCTTAAGATATTGGACATTATAATACTTCTACGCATGTCATGATCATGCATTTTTCATGAACACTCACACACTAATTCATTCGTTCACCTCCAGTGTACTTTTCTTACTCATGTTTACTATATATATGCATAACGCATTTATTTCATACCTTCGTCTATAAGACTTACATTAGGCTTTCAGTTCAACATCTAGCGCTGCACCAATATTTACTATGGTACTGATTGTGTCTCTGTGGACCCATTTCCAGTGATGTGTGTGCGTTTGTGTGTATGTGTGTTAATCTGAAATAGTCACTGGGGAGGGTTTTGGCACAAGATATCTGGTCTAGGAGGAGAAGAAAGTGTAATTTTTCTTGCATACCTGCATATAAAAATTTTCTCCAGACAGACATTTTAGGGGGTATTAAAATAAGAACCTTTCACATTTAAAATCATTTCTGCGACAGCTGTCGCAAGCAACTGTCACATAATTGTTGCTGGATTGGGTTAAATTGTTTTTCATTTAACAGCTGCTTAAGTTTCTCTTTTTTTAACTTAAAACAGTCCACATCCCATGGAATTAGCATTATACTTGTGTGTCAATTTTTTTTATCTAAATATTAAAATACACCAAGAGACCATCTGTGTGTTCCAGTACATTTTATTTTTGTATGAATTAAAATTAGTCTGCCAATGAATGTGTGTTTTACTAGCTGTGTACTACAGCGCAAATACCACTGTCATTCAGATTTTCAGGATTTGAATAGTTTATCATTTATTTTCTTGGAATCTAATTGTGCATATTGAGAAATAATATGTTAGACTTTATTTACAGTATTTACACAATGAGAATGTGAAGCTGGCATTAATCATGTTTTCAAAATGTTCTACTCTTATAAAAGATAAAAACAAAAACTACCGGTATATGTAGTAAAACATTTTTTCCATGCAGTCCATAGCAGAAAGAATAAAAGAGTTTACATTAGTAGTTTTATGGGAGCTTTGTTAAAGTGTCACTAAATCCACATCATAAAAAACTATCAATAAATGCTGTATTACATGCTGTTCATGCTTACTCAGTCACTTAGGGATTCTTTTTCTTTATTTCGCAAAAAACCTGGTTGAATCTGTTGTTCTCTGTCTCCCCCTTCAATTAATATCCCCAATGCAGTGGGGATTTTGCAGAGCAATATTGGCAGTTACTGCACAAGCTCAGTTTTCAGTGAATTTCTATACTGAGCATTTCCTCCCTATCACATCTGAGCAGCCCATGTGCTCACACATGTGGGCATATACACAGTGGTAAATGACAGCCCACTCCCTCCCTGCTCTTCCATGCCCACGAACCAGCTAAACACAAGGGGGGGATGTTACATCTTGATGGATGGAGGCTTCACCGCCTGGTATTCTACGACAAAGACTGGAGGGGGCGTGACACAGCCTGTGAATGGCAGAAATCTGCTCAGACCATGTTACTGCCAAAATATAATAAAGATTTGATTGCAAATATATATTTGTATGATCATTTAAAACCATTTATTGATAATAATTATTTATTTTTACTCTGTATCCCAAAGGCTGTTATTTTTATATTTTGAACGTGTGACCAGCAGAAGACCAAAAGCTCCTCCTGCCACAATATCCCTGCAGACAGGCTGGGGAAGAGCTGGGTCATGTGACAGCTGTATATCAATTAAGAAAAAAGGTACTTTTTTAATTAAAATAATTAGAGTGCCATCATCCACATACAGAAAGAGAAGGGAAATTATAAATGAAACTGTGTGTGTTTAGTATCACTTTTAACAAATCCTGAGTTTGTTAGAGAATATATTTAAATAAATACCATTATGAAGAAGGAGGGATCAACACAAGTCAGGTATAATGTTTTTAAAAAGCACAAATCAGCGTTCTATTAATTTTTCCAAATTTTGTAAATTCCCTGGGCCATAGTTAAAGTGTATGTATAGCCAGGCATTTTTTTCCCCATGTTGAATAGCATAGGGCACTGGTGTCAAACTGGCGGCCCTGCAGCTGTTGCTAAAAGTCCCACGAGGCATTGCAAGACTGACAGTTACAAGCATGACTCCCAAAGGCAGAGGCATGATGGGACTTGTAGTTTTGCAACAGCTGGAGGACTGACAATTTGACACCCCTGGCATAGGGTATGGTTAAGATCCCTGTCAGTTTTTATTTTTTTTTTCACTTTCTGCCCAGGATATATAGCACAAAGTAAGAAGATAAAAAGTTATCCCTCTATAGCAAGGGGAAATATCTTTTTTAGACAGTTGTCACTGGAACATTTACCCCATTCAGAGTTTTTTTCCTCACCTTCTGTTTCTGTGACTACCCAAAAAATGTGTCACTTTGTGTGTCAGGGACATGGTTACAAAGACCATTAGCAAGGGTTATTCTCCTCAGCTGGTAAAGAGCAATAAAAGCCAGACAGCACTTCTAATCCTCTTCATTTTATAATAATCTCAGAGAAAATGGGGTTGGCTTTGCATACACTTTCAAATGAAATCAAAAGTTCAGTTAACAAAGTGCAAAACTTTCATTTGGAATTCCTGTGGATGCCTTGAGTCTAAACTGGAGTAGACAGAATCTGAAGCACAGCAACCAATCAGCTTCTATCTTTAGCTTCTTCATTTACGCTTTGAAAATGAAAGACAGAAGCTGATTGGTTGCCATGCACAACTGCTCCAGATTTTGTCTGCTCCAGTTTTGATAAATTCCTTTCTTAGTGTTTTTGCTACTGTTATGTTTATTGCTCTCCTTCCTTGAGAGGAAGCTGTACCTGGGGAATTGCAGTTCATAAATCTTGCTTCTGCAAATGTGAACAGTTATGACTTGAGCCTGGTGTTCTAATAGAAACAATTGTTCAGGCAATGTCTGTTTAGGAGGAGAGTTCAGTTCAATTCTAAAGAGATTTCCAATCACTTCCTTTTGTGCTTCCAGGACAGCAACTGAGGAGAAATGTCTCCAAGAGGACAAAAACAGCAACAAAAAAAATAAAACCCCACAGGAGCTTACCTATTTACCTGTAAAGTTTTCTTTGTGAAATACATTAGTAACCGATTATTGAGACTAATTGCATGAATATAGTCTGACATGAAAATGTGTCATATGTTTAGGGTGGAGGTTTCTACTAGGTATAAGGTTTGGGTTCACGGCTGAGGAGAATCCTGGGGGTTTTAGATTCATGGTCCTGTGAATTTAGGTGCAGATTTGCCCTGGATTGTTTTAATCAAACAGAGTTTTTATTAGTATTGAAAAGGGCAAAAAGTAAAAACATCACTGCTGACAAAGACATGCACCTATGTTGTCATCATATCCAGTCAAAGGAATAGATAAGACCAGGTATTTGCAATATATCATGTACAGAAGTGATGTATTACATAGACAAGTGGAGAGTTATCTAACTGCTGAAGACAAATGAAGTGACAGATCCAATGACAGATTGTTTGCAGGACATAGTGAAAAATAATACAGCAAAGCCCATAGAATAGGGGTTTAATCAGTTTAAATAGCTGTAAAGGCTCAAGGGTTTATACCTTCATGCATTCTATACATGAAGGTAAAACATCTTCTCTGTGCAGCATCCCTCCAAGCCCCCCATACTCAAATATTCCCCCTCTCGATCCAGCATTATGCACTGGAGTCTTGGTTATCCCGGGACTCCCTCTCCTCATGGGGCCATTGGCTCCCAGTGCTGTCATTCACAGCCAGTGAGCCAATGAGAGAAGAGAGAGGGGGCTAGACTGAGCCAAGGCTCTGTGTATGAATGGACACACAGACAGGGGCAATGAGTGCCCCATACCAAGCTCCCACCCGACAAGAAGAGCCCGTGGGGTCATGCTTTGCTGGGGTTTTTTTGCCTTCCTCTGGATCAACTGCGGGTGTAGGATTATAACTTTTATTTTTTTTAATGGTTGAACTGGATGAACTTTTGTCTTTTTTCAGCCAGACTAACTACAGTATGTATAAGGAGATTTTGGGCAAGCCAGCCTTATCACTATAAAGCTAACAAACTGCATAGTGAGAAATTTGGGTTCATTAGGAAATTGTACTTTAGTTCTGATTGCTAGTGCTTTTGACAGTCAACCTACTATATCCTCTGTAGTATCTTAAATAGAGATGAGCGAATCGAACCTGGCGAAGTGGAATTCGTTTCGAATATCAGGAAAAATTCGATTCGCATCGAATCCGAATTTTAGCAAACTTCGGGTGCACGAATCGAATTTTTCCCGATCAGCCGGCAAAAGTGTCACTGCAGAGAGCTCCGCTATTTCTGACAGTTCTGACAGTTCATTTACAGCGGTTGAAACATTGTATCTATTTATTTCCATTTAGGATACAGATGTTTTTTATTCGGAAATAAATAGATACAATGTTTCAACCGCTGTAAATGTGAAGGAACTGTCAGAGAACTGTCAGAAATAGCGGAGCTCTCTGCAAATACACTTTTTGCTGTACTTTAATTTTGCTTCATTTCATTCTTCTTCTTCTTTTCATTCTTCTTCTTCTTCTTTTCATTCTTCTTTTCATTCTTCTTCTTCTTTTCATTCTTCTTTTCATTCTTCTTCTTCTTCTTTTCATTCTTCTTCTTCTTCTTTTCATTCTTCTTTTCATTCTTCTTCTTCTTCTTTTCATTCTTCTTCTTCTTCTTTTCATTCTTCTTTTCATTCTTCTTCTTCTTCTTTTCATTCTTCTTCTTTTCATTCTTCTTCTTCTTCTTTTCATTCTTCTTTTCATTCTTCTTCTTCTTCTTTTCATTCTTCTTCTTCTTCTTTTCATTCTTCTTCTTTTCATTCTTCTTTTCATTCTTCTTCTTCTTTTCATTCTTCTTCTTCTTCTTTTCATTCTTCTTTTCATTCTTCTTCTTCTTCTTTTCATTCTTCTTTTCATTCTTCTCATTCTTCTTTTCATTCTTCTTTTCATTCTTCTTCTCATTC